CAAGTCTGGCTGGGGGATTTGCGGGTCGTCGTTTTTGTTGTGGTTGTGTTTTTCGTTTGTTGTTTTATCGATTTGCTTATTCTAAGGACTTTTTTGTCCTTGTACAGTGTTTTGTCTGCTTACTCACATGTAAGGACCGAGCCATTAGTGCGACATCGGCCACACTCGAGGAAAAAAAAAAAAGCTCTTTGTGATCTCGGGGATCCTGGCTGGGGGGATCCCTGGTTTCCGCATTGAGCTTTGTTGCTTCCTGCACCCGCTGGAGTGGCCCATTGTGATTTTGGGGTTGGTCTTGTTGTTGCATATTTTTATGGGCCTGCATCTATATGGCACACAAGATGTCATTATGCATGTTTCGAGATGATACTAAGTTATCACCTCCTGCTTTTATGGATCTTTTCACCCATAAACTGGTACTGGTCACGTCACCGCTCTTTGGTGTGGGTGGTTTTTTGGTTGTTTGTTTCGGTTTTTGTTTGTTGTTTTGTTTCTTGGTGTTTTTCCGGGTTTTCTTGCTGAGCGTGACAGCCATAGGACTATGTATCGGTCCTCCACCAGTTTACTTTTGCGCCCGCTACAGGAATGGCCTTTGCGTGACTTAATTAAGCTTTTAATCCTAATTGCAACATGCTCTCAAACATGTTGAACGACCTGGCGGAAGCCATGAAGGCGTTGGAAGGAAAAAATCCTTGCTCGCTGCCCTGAATTCATGATGTATTTCCATGCATGCTCTATTTGGACTATTGCGCTCACTTCGCTGTTTATTTCCTTGCGTTCTTGTTGTTTCCTGTGCTCCTTATTTGTTTCTTGCATCGTTCATTTATATCCGGAAATTCATGATTTATTTCCCCGAACCGCTACTTTATTGTCAGTGTTTTCCATATTGATTTTCCCGAAATCTTTTCTTTCCCATATCCCCGGGCTTCTTTCAAGGTTCTGAATTTCTCTGCATATTTCCCTGAATTTCGTCGGCTCCTTTATTTCCTTGTTTATTTCGATAGGTTCGTTTTTATTTGTTTGTTTCTGTGAATTTTGATTTGTTTCTCTGAGTCTGAGCCCCTTGTATTTTCTTCCCTAGCAAAGACACATCAAGTAGTTAAGTTGAAGCGCCGCCCTCAATGATGACAAAATGCGTTTGTTGGATATGTAAATTGGAGAGAAGCTTGGAAACATATACATTACTTACTTGCCATCATTGAGAGCAGCATTTTCGTTCGTTCACTTGTTGCTTCTTTGGTTGTTAGCCATCATTGAAGGCGGCGGTGTCACTTAATTACTTACTGTTCGTCTGCTTCGTGTTGCAAAGAAGTCCGTAGCCCATGTTTTTTATTTACATTGCATGGACATATCGTGAAGCTGGTAACGGCTTCAAATTTCACCCGGATTCTTACCAATGAAAACGTGTCACCCGATAGTATGCTGCAGAAGCATTGCAGAGCAGCAGACCGAGAATATTGTGAGCGTTTTGTGAGAAGAGGCCTGTGCTTGTCTTCACAGACGGAGCCTGGGAGAACCAGGCGGCTGGAATAGGACCGGTATTGATTGACACAGCCACCAACATGCGCTGGGTTCTTGCTGGTGAAGTCCCTCAGCAGCTGCTCGACAAATGGCAGCCACTGGTGCGGGACCAACTAATTTGCCAAGTGGAACTTTATACTTTGGTGGTCATTAGATGGATGTTCAAAGATTTTTTGAAGGAAAGGAGATCCTTGTGGTGGGTAGATAACGATGCTGCCCGTTGTGCAATCATCAAAGGGCTCAGCTCTAGCCCCACCATGCGTTATCTTGTCAGGGAATTCTATGCCTTTGCAGTTGAGGCGCCTTCATTTTGGTGGGTGGAGAGGATCCCCAGCTTTTCGAACATAGCTGACGGGCCCTCCAGAAGGAAACCCGAGGAAGCTCTGAACCTGCTCAAAGTCGACCGCTGTCTTGATTTCCAACACTGTCCTGAACTTGTTAACCGCTTACTGAGCGACCAGCTGGTCACTCGAAAGGGGTGATGTCCGGGACCAGCAGGAATGCAAAATGACACACTTGTAGCTTGAATGGTCAACCTGTTGAGATGCCTGATACAACAATTTTTCCGACAGAAGAATTCAACTACTCCGAGTACCCCTGACCGCTTGCGTTGGCAAGTCCCAGGAAAAAGTGTTTTGCAGCAGCTTCATATCAGATCCACCTGTCCACCATCTATTCAATTTTATTTATCAGCTTGCGTTTGGCGAGAATTTCCGAGTTTTTGCGACACGTTGCGGCGAATGATTTTTCTCGAGCATGCTGTTTTCGGAGGTTTTGGTATGTTTGATTTTTGCGCGAACGTTAATTTTAGTAGGCAATATGAGGGAAACTTATATACGCTAAGGGTGTAATCGGCATACAGACTGCAGTGCTATAAAGGAGAAGTGCCGCATGTAAGTGTTTGGAATTTGGGACATCTAGGAAGGGTAAGGTTCATAGTGCCGCGTGTTGTGCTAACTATGTTCGGTGGTTGCGTGCTCAGCATCAAGAAGCAGCGGAAGCCGCCGAGCGAGAGCGTAGAGCGATGCGTATGGAACCTTCCCCTGAATGGTTGGGTGATCATGGTTTGTATTGTGTACGCCTAATTGTCCTGCGTGTGGTGCGCTGGAGTTGGGTGTCAACCCTATGGATCATCAGGTCAAGTCTGAGGTGTTTGGAAGTTCGCCTGAAAAGTCTGATCTTGGTGTCGTGCCAAAGTGTCGAACGCTCTGGTCGTCCTGATGTCGTCAAGCGGCCTTTGGAGCGTTCTGATGTCCATGGCATGGACGTGGGCAGTGATGATGGCGGGTACAGACCCAGCTTGGTTGATGACCAAGAACTTGAAACTGCTCGGCCACCGAGTAGTCCAAATGTTGAAGTGGCACAGTCTGAGAGTGCCCATGCAACTTCGCGTGGATCAAAGCGTTCAGCCGAAGCTCAGTTGGAAAGGTGTGGAAGTAGATGATATGGACCAAGGACGTGAGGACTCTGTTCTTGTGGACGATGTGAATGCAACTGATGATTTTGCAAGTGTAGTGAGCATTTTGAAATTGTCGGAAAGTTTTGCGGGTCCTGATTTGGTTTTCGAGGATGAATCGTTGCAGTCCGTGGTGTATCGGATCTTGCTTTTGAAGGGATGTTGACTGCAATGGGATGTTGACCTTGAAAGGGTTCATGCAGTTTTCTCCAGCTCCACATAAACTGGGCTATGATCTCCACGACACAGAGATAGCGAACTTGATGATTACTTTTCCTGTGGCATTCATGGGCATATGCATAAACGCAGCAGAACAGTCTAGAGTCCAGCCATACGCGTTCGTGTGCCCTCCCACTGCAAGTGCCAACTTCATTGACTCAGTGGAGGGTGGCGGGGATGAGATGCCTAGTCTTTTAGCTTTCGTGGCACCTGTCGCGATGTCCTTGACCATCCTAGGCCTGTGCCTGCTGGCCTTCAATCACCTTGGAGTTGGTTACCCAGCGGCAATTTATGATCTTGGGCCAATTCCAAAGCTTCAGAGTGCTTCACAGGATTTTAATCAACGGTTTGTGACCCCTGTGCTTGTTGATTGCTGCCTTCGCTGCCCCTTGCTGCCTTGTCTCCCAGCCCTGTCTTCCTTGATGATCTGCCTTGTCTGCCTTGTCTGCCTTGTCTTCCTTCCTTCATGGTTGCTGCCTTCGCTGCTCCTGTTGCCTTGTCTCCCAGCCTTGTGGATTGCTGCCTTCGTTGCCCGTGTTGCCCTTTACTGCCTTGTCTCCCATTCCTTCATGATTCACCCTGGGAACCACCAAATCCTCCCGGGAACCGAAAACACCACTCCGGGAAAAAAAACACCACGGGAACCAGAAACACCTTTCCGGGAACCAGAAACCCAGAGACCCCGCCCCCCTAGGGCCTTGTCTCCCAGCCTTGTTTTCCTTCATGATGGCTGCTTTCGCTGCTCCTATGGCTTTGTCTCCCAGCCTTGTTTTCCTTCATGATTGCTGGCTTCGCTGCCCTTGCTGGTTTTTCTCCCACCCTTGTCTCCCTGCATGATCCTGCCTTTGCTGCCCTTGCTGCTTTGTCTCTCAGCCTTGTCTCCCCTCTTAATCCGTGTCTTTGCTTCTGCTGCCTCGTGGTTTTCCTTCAGGGCTGTGGCACGAAACGCGAAGTGGAAAACAGTCGAAAATAATCTCATTGCTATTCGGGGTCCATGATGTATATTTTTTATCTTGCGGCGTTTTTGGTCCCAAAATTTACATGTGTTTTTATTTGCGAGGGGTTTTGAATTTGAATGTGCCGCTCTATCCCTATCAATTCCCGTCGGCAAACTCGAGATCGACATGGGTAGGTGGTTTCATTTGTATTTGGTAAGGTGGAAAATATTTCCATAATTTTGCTGGAATCCTTATTTTGCATCATTATTTAACATTTGTTTTTAAATCATGATGAAGCTCACTTGTGATCGAATAGTCTTGTGTTGTGATTAGAACAAACGCGGTTTGTGTCAGCTGCATTTGATTACAATCCTGCAAGTATTGGCTCCAGGGTGGGTGAGGTGGGACCTCTTTGATCGTTTGGCGAAATTTGGAGTAGGGGGCGAGCGATGGATGAAGATTTTCTTGGCCATGGTGCTGTGATTTCTAATGACAGTTTGGTTGCTGGCACGTCGGCAAAAGCTGAATCAGAGCCTGCATTTCGAGCAATCGATTTGATGCACAGCACCGTGACATTTGGTAACTTGAGTCATCCTTCAATGCCTACACATGTGGACTTTCAAGCTAGACTTCAGGAGTCACAAGTTGCAGAGTTACATCCATCTCGTGCTACTTCAGGTGAACTACAACCTGATCTTTTTGGACACGATAGTCCCCCCGCCAAATCTGATCATGGAGGATGCATTGACCTTGAGTCTGAGTCGGAGCCTCGTGAGTCAAGTCTTAACCATGTAGATGATGATGCTGGTTTTGACTTCGAAAGTGAACCTGTAAGTGGACCTGTTGTTTCAAGCGGAGTTTGGCAAAGCATGGTGAACGATTCCTTTAGTTCTTTTCGTGCTACGCATGCCGGGCTTCTTTATCCATGGGAAACTGGTACTCTTGCATGTATTTTCAGCGATGACAATGTTGTGCCTGCTCTGGAGTGTCCACCTTTGATTCATTCTGCAGCGGAAGAACCCTCTGCTAGCGTTGGTGAGAGTCAGGGCCTTACTAGTTCAAATCAGTTGGATGTGGACTGCAAATTCACCTTGGCTGTCAAAAACCTTCCTGATCTTGATTATTTCCAGCAGAAGTCGCAATCTCTGGAGTTGGCCTGCGGTCGATGGATGGAGTTGCTGTCGCTTTCTTGGGATGCATCAAGTGTTGGAGTTCAGTTAGCATTAGATTTGCAGACTGATGCGCATGGCAACTTAGCGTTGGAGTCATTGCGTGCTTGCTTTGGCACCAAATCACCATCAACGCTCCTGAAGAGGGCAGGCACTTTCCGACAGTTTGTGAAGTGGTTCAAAACAACTGAACACTATGATGATGGATGTGGATGTGCTTTTCCTTTGATGGAGAAGGTGGTATGGGATTATTTCCTATGGCTTAGACGCGAGAGAGCAATGTCATCCAAGGGTTATACGTCACCATCCACATTTCTTGAGACTGTGAGATTTGCCAAGTTCACAGTAGGATTAAAGGGTGCTGATGAAATCCTTCAGTCACGTCGGCTTTTAGGCTTTGCGGCCATTGAGAAGGGCTTGAAAGGCCCTACACGACAAGCGCCTGGCTTAGAGCTAAGTCACCTTCAGCGGCTTCACAGTGTACTCAAGTCTGGCGATAGCTTGGTTGACCGCTTGGGTGCAGCAGTTTTTCTGATTTGCATCTATGGCCGTGCGCGTTGGTCAGACCTCAGATTTGTGGAGTCGTTGAATTTTGACCGCCACAGAAATGGGTCACTTACCATTTACACGAAGGAGCACAAAACCTCAAATGTGGGCACAAGGCGTGAGCAGTTCCTTCCCATCATTGTGCCGTGGGAAGGGGTGACAAATGATTGGTGGTTGGACACCTATGTTGATGTGTGCGAGCAATTAGGTTTTGACCTCAAACGGAAACCCTTTGGACCACTGATGCCAGCTCCAAAACTGGGAGGCGGCTTTTGTGCCAGGCCCCTCACCACCAATGAAGCTGCTGTGTGGCTAAGGAGTCTTCTTGCAGGTACACCACAATCGGAGTCATTCCGATCCCATTCCTTGAAGGCCACATTACTTGGCTGGGCAGCCCGAGCAGGCCTAGACAAAGAGACCAGGGCGGTGCTAGGGCACCACTGCACAGCCCTAGCAGGGTCTGAGGTGGTCTACAGTCGGGACCTTCAGATTAGATCAATCCGAAAGCTTTCAATGATGCTTCGCAGAGTCAGAGTGGGTCTTGATTTGGAGGAGGACACCATGAAGCAGTTTGGCCTTGCAGGGACACCAGCCATGATGACACCAGCATTTTGCCCTACTACGCCTGTGCCACCTAGGCCTACCTTACCTCAGGAGACAGCGCAAGAGTCTACTGAGGAGTGCCCTGTGGGTGATACAAACCACGGGGCAGTGGAAGGTGCGTTGGAAACCATGCGAGGACTTGAGGACTTGCAGAGTTTGAAAGAGGAATGCGTCGATTTTGACGATGTCGAAATGAATGCAGACCAGTTGAGCCTTTTTCCTCAAAGTCTTGCGGTGACAGGTGCAATCGCAATTGAGTCGTCCTCAGGTAGCAGCAGTTCGAGTTCAGAATACTCGAGCTCAGATGAGAGCATCTCGGATGCGAGGCTGAAGGGTGATGTGCATTTCACTGAGCGTGTCCCTGAGGGTTTTTTATTTTTCAAGCATAGAAAGAGTGGAATAGTCCATTCAAGAAAGGATGGACAAGAGGCGTTTTCTTGCAAAACAAAGTTGACTGAAAACTTTTGCCCATTGCCTGCTGTTTTTCATGTTCGTTTGCCAAAGTGTTTGAAATGTTTTCCGAAAGACACTGAGAGGATAAGAAACTTGTCCCAGTTAACCAAAGCTGTGGATGCTGCCGTGAAGAAGGCAAAGTCATCCTAAGAGCTTACCGAAGGGTGAGACGCAAAAAGGCAGAAAGCTGCAGTAGCGGAAAGCCGCATGACAGAAAGCTGTAAACACGTGTGCAGAGAGCTGCAACGAGTTGGTTGAGTTGTGCCGGCGTGGCCTCATTTCAGCATTTGCGCCAAAGGGCTCAAGCGATGTTGAATGAAAGCATTCATGTTTGAGATTGTGCATCTTTTGCCTCAGAGTTTTTCATTTTCCATTGTCTAATTTGCTCGGACATCACTCAGGTTCAGAATGCATTCATTTGTGTGATTCGATGTCATTCCCTCAGCTGGTCAATTTTAATTTGGTGTTCTAAGCGAACCTTGTTGTGTCAGCCATGACATCTTTGCTGGACAGCAATGCTCAATTTGAGAGTCGAATGCGAGAGCTAGGCTTCCCGGCGAACTTCATTGATCAAGTCAAACAACATGGAGTACGGACATTGAGTCAACTAGCGTTTGCGCTAGGACAACCTGGGCAGCCAATTCAGGATGCAAACGTTGATGCATTCATCCAAGCAGCAACCCACCGCGCTTCCACATTGAATGAGGTGGCAAATCTGAAACGCATAGCTTTCGAGGCACAAACCTTCTTGGTGGCAACGCTTCGACAAAGTGTGGACCGCAATGAGGACGTCCCCAAGAAGATTGCACACGCAGAACGAACTTCCAGAATGGATCTACTCAAGCGGACTTTGGTGGGTGTTAACATCCAAGGGGAACTGGAACCTGCTCATTGCGTGCTGGACAAGTTCAGCCACATGTTTGAGTTGAACTCGGTAAAATACTATGAGCCTGCCAGTTGCATCAGCCGCTCATTTGAAATTGCAGGGGGCTCGAAAAACAAGGAGTTGACGCTCGAAAAGGGCGCCCTAGTTGTCAAGTCCTCTGAAGATAAGCTGACCTCCGTCACCGACACGGAAATAAAGTTACACTATGCCCTTGTGAGAAGAGCTCTTGCCCTGCAGTTTGCACAACTGATGAGTTATGATCAACATTGTGCTTGGGAAACCTTTCTTTTTGAGAGTCTTCACCGAGAGCCACCACCTGGCTATCACAAGCCAGGCCTGACACAGTTGATACAGTGCGACCGAGCAGCATGGCAGCGTCTTGGAACAACGCTCACTGACATCAGACAACAAGCAAATGGCACGTATCCTCTTGGTGAGGCTCTGTTGCGGTTGATGCATGACCCGAACATCACTTTGTATTTGACCCCACTTGCTAAAGCTCCAACTGCCAATACATCAAGTTCATGGCGACAGAGTTCTGGCCCTTACCAAGCACCCAGTTCACCATCAAAAGGGCGCGGTAAGGGCAAAGGTCGAAAAGGAGGCAAGAGCACCCCACCAATTCCAGCCGAATTGCGTGGAAAGTGGCACAAGACTGGCTCAGGAGAGCCCCTATGCTTTGAATACAATTGTGCTTCAGGTTGCAGCGACAAGTCAGTGCAGCCGGGGCAAAAGTGCGCTCGGGGATGGCATCTGTGTGCAGAGCCTAAGTGTCAGAAGCCGCATTCCCTTCGTCAGCATGGATCGCATGAGAGCACCTGATATCCGTACAAATCCATTGAGTTTAGGAGTTGGCACAACACTCGAATCGAACAGGCTTTCATGGTGGAGGTGTTTGCGGGAGCAGCTGTCTTATGCGCAACAGCAAAACAGTATGGTCTTGAAACATCTCTGGCAGTGGACAAAAATAAAAAGAAGACTGCCCGATGTGCAATTCTTCAACTCGATTTGACTGTGCCGTGCAATCAAGATCTTTTGACTCAGTGGATTCAATCCCCATTACTTTTATGGCTTCACCTTGCCCCTGTTTGTGGAACGGCAAGCCGGGCCAGAGACATTAGACGTTTTCCTGGAGACCCAAAACCCTTAAGGAGCAATGAGTTTCCAGAAGGACTGCCTTCGTTAAACGAACAAGACAGTAAAAGAGTTTTTCTTGCCAATCAGTTGTTTGAATATGCTTGCAAGCTTTTTGCAGACGCGGCAGCCTTGGGTATCGTGGTAACCATGGAAAACCCTCGTAGCAGCTACTTTTGGTTAACTTGTTGGTTTCTGGCTTTAGCAAAGCAGTGGCAGTTGTTTCGTGGTGACTTCCAAGCATGCATGCTCGGCAGCGGGAGAGATAAATGGTCCAGATTTGTCTGCAATGCTCAATTCATTGAGGCCCTCAATATCCCATGTGATGGTAAACACCAGCACCTTCCATGGGGCTTTGCACTGAACGATGAAGGCAACCAAGTTTGGGCGACTTCACTGGAGAGTCAATATCCTAGGAAGCTTTGCGTCACAGTTGTTTCCTTGGTGCTACAGTTTGCTGAGCAACGAGGCTTGATTCTCAAAGCCTTTGACTTGCAGAGTGCTTCAGAAAATCCGATGCGAACAGCGCAGTTTTCTCGAATTGCGGCAGGTACTCAACCAAAGCCATCCAGAGTGCCTCCAATTGTGCCTGATTTTTCTTCAGCAGCTGTTTTTCTGGTTAAATATCCTACAGAGATACCATGCACACTGATGTCAAAACTGCAAAATCCTCTTCAACTCCATACTGTCACAGGCGCCCCTGTTGTGGTACCCAAGTTTGCACGTTTTTTACGCTTGACTGCGCGGCCCTCACCTGTTTTGGGGGAGGACCAAGGGGTTAAGGGCCGCCCATGCAAGAGGATCAAAAGCGATGCCAATAGCAAAGACGGTGAACAGCCAACGCAACTGCAAGACGTTGGCCCACCGGACCCTCTGACTGACCCTCTGAGTCAATTTGGTTATGAGGTAGCATTTGGGCTCCCATGGGACTATGAAGGCTTCATTCAAAAGGCATGCGAGACTGGCCATCCTGCAGCCAAGTACTCGTCAGTACCCTGGGAGCTGAGCAAAGCGATTGAGCAGCAGTCTTTGTGGTCAGCAGAACAGCTAGCAAACTACAGGATAGCGTGGTGCAGGAAATGGTTGAAACGTTGCAAGGAGCTCGCAGCCGATGAAGAAGTGGACAGGAATTCCAACAGATCTCCACATGTTGCTGCTGCCACTGAAGGTAAAAGAATTTTACTGACCCAAGAGATCTTGAGTGACATCGGATACGAAGACATGAGTGCGCTGGACCTTCTTCGTTCTGGGGCAACATTAGCTGGTGAAGTCCCCAAGTGTCCGGTTTTTCCCAGACAGTTTAAGCCATGTTTGCTTACGATGGAGCAGCTTGTGGAGACTTCTCAGAAGCGCAATCAAATGATTTTGAACATGACAGTGACTTCGGGATCTCCGGAGTTGGACGTTAAAATTTTGGAAGAGACAAAAGAGGAGCTGCTAAAGGGCTGGATTGAAGGACCCTTCGACGTGGATGCTTTGGAACCACACGCATGTATTTCAAGAAGGTTTGGTTTGGTCCAAGGCTCCAAAACAAGGATGATAGACGACTTTAGCATAAGCGGCATCAACGACACTTGCGTGATCCATAATAAGATTGACCTGCATATGATCGACACCTTCGCTGGAGCTATTCGTATGTATTTTCAAACAAGGAGCTCGTACAATTTGGACACCTGCCTGGAGGCAAAAACATACGATCTGAAAGCGGCCTACCGTCAGGTCCCCATCAAAGAGGAGCACCTCAAGTTTGCTTATTTCAGTGTGTACAACTGCGAGCTCAGACGTGTTGAAGTGTATAGGTTAAAAACACTCCCCTTCGGGGCAACCCACAGTGTCTACTACTTTTTGCGGCTGTCGCGGATGCTGTATGCTATAGCCACTCGAGCACTATACCTGTTGACAACAAATTTTTATGACGACTTCCTGTTAGCCTCTGCCCCGGAACTGAAGGAGAGCAGCAGCAGCAGTATGGAACTACTTTTTATGTTGACAGGCTGGCAGTACGACAGAGCTGGAAAGAAGGCTACTGAGTTTTCGACACTGTGCAAAGCTTTGGGCGTATGTTTCGACCTTTCAGCATGCAAAGATCAAGTCCTGAAGATTGACAACACGGCTGCGCGGAAGGAAGAACTTGTCGAACAGCTACAACTTTGTATCTGTAAGGGCTCACTTGGCAAACAAGAGACGTTGGTTTTGCGTGGTCGTCTCGGCTTCGCGGACAGCTTCATTCATGGCAGGCTGGGTTCTGTAACGCTGAAACAACTCTCAGAACATGCGTATGGGCACACTGCAAAGCTTGATGCGGAGCTGAAGCTGTCCTTGGAGGTCATGTCCCAGAGGCTACGTGCTGATGAGCCTAGGTTGGTAACTGCTGGCGTTGATCGACAAATGTTTATTTTTACTGACGCAGCTTACGAACCCGAAACAAAAACTGGAGGTCTGGGTGCCGTGATTTGCGACGAACATGCTTCAGTCGTGGGATGGTTTGGCATACAACTTGACACTGAGCAGTGTGTAGCGTTTGGGGCTAATCTGAAAGACTCCATAATCTATGAGCTTGAACTTTTAGCCGCCGTTATTGCATTGGCTGCTTGGTGCAAAAACGGGTTTGGATATCTTCACACTTGGTTTGGCGACAACGACAGCGTACGTTTTGCACTCATACGTGGTACTGCCGACGGTCACATTGCCCAATCATTGCTTTCCTTTTACATGAAGCGAGAAGTTTTGCAATCCGCAATGGTTTGGTTTGCGCGAGTTCCCACTGAAGCCAATATTAGCGATTTCCCTTCACGTAGACAAGAACATCCTTTGTTGAGCGCTGAATTGAACCGAAACGATCTTGCACTGCCCATACTCCAAGCCATCCTGAATGAGTTGAAAGCAGTGGGCCGCCAATGTCATTTGGGGGAAGCATGATTGGCGATCCCCCTTCTTGGAAAAGAGTCCGTATGCATGCAGCTGCAATCACTGAGCAAGACGATGAAGCTCACTTGTGATCGAATAGTCTTGTGTTGTGATTAGAACAAACGCGGTTTGTGTCAGCTGCATTTGATTACAATCCTGCAAGTATTGGCTCCAGGGTGGGTGAGGTGGGACCTCTTTGATCGTTTGGCGAAATTTGCCCACCCACCCACCCTGGTTTGGAGCGTTATCACTTTCTTCAAGTCACTGCAGAGCACCAGAACCAGTCAAAGGAAACCTCACTATGTTTCTTGAGCTTCACGGTAAAGCCGTGTTAAGCCTAACCCAACCGTTCAGCATGATTGGCGATCCCCCTTCTTGGAAAAGAGTCCGTATGCATGCAGCTGCAATCACTGAGCAAGACTATTATTTCCATTTTTATTGGGGTTTGAAGGCCATGGATACCAGCACCTATAGGGAAGGGCCCCATTTTGCAAAGGTGCAGACCTAGGCCTTGGCTTTGGGGATGGATTCGAAGCTTGGTTCTGCAAACAAACGAACAACGTGTGTCAAATTTGGTCCCAGCGCAATTTTAACCCCACATGCGTTGGCCAATTCCACGATTGCAAATGATCTCATTTTGGGGTACCCAATTTAGATCCCCTTCCCACTTGCCGATGATAGTTTGTTTGTTGGTTGCGCAGTTACCATTTTCAACCCCTCGCCTTTCCTTCCACATTCTTTCAGCTACTGGTTGCATTGCATTCTTTGTTGTCGTGGAAATAATCCGCATGCACAATTCATGAAATAATTTGCAAGAAACGAACCTTTTCCACATTGCACATGAAGGTGTCGCCCACATGTTTTGGTTAGTTTGCCAGTCATTGCGGAATTTTTATTTTGCTACTGTCAAAAAATATTGTTTTGGGGAAACCAGGTTTTGCATCATGGAATTGCAAAAAATTGGCAAAAACAAAACTGGACTTTAATTTTCCTTGGTGGAAACTCTGTTTTCTTTTGGGGTACTGTAATTTTAGCAGATGATTCCACCGAACGGTTGAATAATGGCAACCAAATTCAGCGGAAAATGCACGTATCATTTGGAAGTATCGAAAAAAACATATACGCATGAATTTATTCTGTAACACGTGACATGATTCCAACGGGTAATCAAAACAATGGTGGACGATTTTTTTGATTAACACAAAAATATCGTGACGCAAAATGATAGATCAAACACGAACAACAATGCACATGTTGACAACATATTTGCGCCAAGAAGGTGGCAAAAGGACATGTCATGAAATGTCGTTATTTACAAATTTTGGTAGTTTTGATGTTTTTGCTTCAAACACTGTTTAACTGACTCAAATACCGTTAAACGTGTGTTGGGAACAAAAAACATTACAATTGATTCACACAGTCTTGAAACATGTTTGGCGGTGGTTTTGCAATGGTTTATCCGTAATTACCCACCTTCAAGAACACAATTTTTAGTTGAATTTGTTTTGCAGTATCAAATTCAAACAATCAACAGGGCAGTACAAAAACGCAATGAAAAAAAAAACACCATATTTTTTGATGAACTAGAAAATAAATCAAACAACCCGCAAACATGAATTGAAATTCACACTATTTGGGCCCATTTTGCGTCCAATTCAACTTATCCTTGAAAATGAAGTAAAAAAAAACGTGAAAACAACACCCAATCCACATACCATTTGATGTAATAGTTGAGTCCACAATTGCGATACGCAATTAGCGCTCATACCGTATACCCGAGGTTAGGCGCCAAATCTGTAACCCTGATTCGTTTGCCAACACTACAACATGCCCTCACCGCCGTTGCACTGTGGGCGGATTGGATGTGAATTGGTCAGTTGGATTTTATATTCAATGTGTCACGAATTCGTCTGCAATTTTGGTTCAAAGTTCTTTGTTACCATAAGTTGGTACCCCTGGTACCTTACGTGCTGCAATGCAGCAACAAACTTGGGGAAACGGTCATTTGCCGTTTCTGGCTGTGGGGCGCGTGAAGGAACGGGCCGGGAAGGCAAGTGATGTTCCCTATGGAGGGGATGCAGTTGCGATGGGTGCAAAAATCAATTCATTTATGATACTGGAATTACACCTTTTTTTGAAATCGTGAGCAACAACATCACAATTATTCATCAAAATTCTTTGAGGTACATTTATTTATGCGCAAAAACTTGTTTCCAAAGAAACACTGCATGATTTTCAGTTCTGTTTTATTGTCACCTTTCCGGCACATTGATTCAACATCCAGGACAGCATCACTTTGGCGTATTACATTGAGTCTGTGGACACCGAGCAGCAGGACACCATCGGACACCATGAAATGCTTGGAAATATCTGTATATTTGATAGGATTTAGCCTTGATTTAGCTTAATATAATCTAATCTAATATGATTTGATATGATATGAATTGATATGAAATGTATTACATGATAAATAAATGATATGATATACAGTAATATAATATACAGTAATCTAATATGGAGTACTATAATATACTGTAATATAACATACCGTAATATACTATAATATACTATAACATTATATTATATTATATTATATTATAGTATATTATATTATATTATATCATATTATATTGTATTATATTATACTATATTATATTATATTATATTAAATTATATCATATTATATTATATTATATTATAACATAATATAGTCTAATAGAACACAATATAATATATAATATATAATATATAATATATAATATATAATATATAATATATAATATATAATATATAATATATAATATATAATATATAATATATAATATATAATATATAGTATATAGTATATAGTATATAGTATATAGTATATAGTATATAGTATATAATTTATAATTTATAATATATAATATATAATATATAATATATAATATATAATATATAATACATAATACATAATATATAATATATAATATATAGTATATAGTATATAATATATAGTATATAATATATAATATATAATATATAATATATAATATATAATATATAATATATAATATATAATATATAGTATATAATATATAGTATATAATATATAGTATATAGTATATAATATGTAATATGTAATATGTAATATGTAATATGTAATATGTAATATATAATATATAATATATAATATATAATATATAATACTATATAATATATAATATATCATATGTCATATATCATATATCATATATCATATATCATATATCAAATATCAAATATAATATATAATATATAATATATAATATATAATATATAATATATAATATGTAATATGTAATATACAATATATAATATATAATATATATTATATAATATATAATATATAATATATTACATATTATATATAATATACAATATACAATATACAATATACAATATATAATATACAATATACAATATAGAATATACAATATAGAATATAGAATATATAATATATAATATATAATATATTGATAAATGATATATGATATATGATATATGATATATGATATACAATATATGATATATGATATATGATATATGATATATAGTATATGGTATGTGGTATATGGTATATGATATATGATATATAATCTATAATATATGATATATAATATATAATATAATATAATATAATAGACTATTATAGAATAGAATACAATATATGATATAATATATAATAATGTACAATTTAACTCATAATATATGATATTTAATATATGATATATGATATATAATATTTAAAATATAATAGATCACTTTGCAAAAGTATAATATGATATACAATATAATATAATATAACATAATAAAATGAAAGATAATATGATATGGTATAGTGTGATGTAATATAATATAATATAATACACTTTAGTATAATGTAATATAATATATTTTCCTTTACTTTCAGATAATATTAAAAAATGAAGCATGATACACTATAATATAATATAATATAAGATAATAAAATATAAGTATATTTTTCAATTTAACTATAATATATTATAATATGATATAATATAATTTAATTTGATACACTAGAAAAATATATAATACAATATCATATAATACAATATGATATGATATAATACAATAGAATGTACTGTAATATAGTGAAAAATAGTAGTATATTATTTCAAGTAAAATAAATAAATTAATATACTATTTAATATTTGAAATTTAATATATAATATAATATATTAAAAAATAGAATATAATTTATAATATGTAATTTACAATATAACATATTTTGTATTTAGTATTTAATATATAATATTATATTTAGTATCTAATATAATAAATATTATATTATATATGATATTTAATATGATAAATACATTTTATAATAATTTAATATATATAGTAATATTATATGATGTGATACGATATGAAATACCGGAATATATGATATAAAAAAATATTATAGAAACAACAATATACAAAATATAATATATAGTATTATATATATCATAATATAATATAGTGTAATATAATGTAATATATGATAATATAATATAATCTGACATAATCTGATACAATCTAATAAAATAAAGAATACATAACATAATATACTGCAATAAAATACGATACGATATAATAGAATGAAAAAGGAAAATTCATGGAGGGAAAGGCGGTTTGAGAAGCAAAAAACTAGCACTTTGCTTCAGTGCATTCGGGAAGTATAAACATGCTCCGATCCAATTGGATTGGCTTGACAGAATGACTGAATGCGCTTGGACTGGTTGATGTACTCCAGCAATGTGTTGTGGGGAGAATGCAGCACTCCCAGGACCAAACTCAAGAAGTGTTCCAGAAGCTGCTGAAGGTTCCCACATGTTTTGACGGGCTTGTGAAAGTGGGAGGGGTTGGACAGCAACAAAGTTTTTCCCAAGGCATTGCCCAATGGCAACAAGGATAAGAAATGTTGAAAGCATTCATGTGAGGAAGATCTATCTATTGATGGATCCATCGATCCATGGATCCATCCCTCCCTCCGTCCATCCATGCATCCATGCATCCATGCATCCATGCATCCATGCATCCATCTATCCATCTATCCATCTATCCATCTATGGATCGATCTATCGATCTATCGATCGATCTATCTATCTATCTATCTATCGTATCTATCTATCTATCTATCTCCCTATCTCTCTCTGTCTCTCTCTGTCTCTCTCTCATTCTCTTTCATTTTCTGTCTTCTTGTCCCTTTCTCTTTGTGCAGTGACTTTTGGTTTGCTCTCGAATGAGTTCTTGGATCAGCTTTCCAAGAAGGTTCTTTTGGTTAGGTGGTTGGTGACGTGTGGAGGCTTCGTCTCAGAAGCTGGCCGCTGGTCAAAGAACTCGGCTGCAGTGGAACAATGGCAGCGTCGGGGGGCTTGACAGATGCAATCGGTTTTTGGCTGAATCTTGAGACGTCTTTGGAGACTTATGAGAGCTTTCATCAATGTAGTGGTGTAGTAGTTTGATTTACAGATCAGACTGGCCACCCAGGAATACCAAAGTTGTTTTCAAACCCGGACTGTATAAGGAATCCCACTCATGATGGTGGGATGACCATAACCAATATACCATGACCATTTTCATGTACTCTATGTCGCTTGACTTCAGAGAAATTACGACCACGATGATGTTCACCTTGATCAGGCTGACGGGAACCTAGATCAGTAGAGTCAACGTTTTCGCCACCAAAAAAAAGTGGCAACTTGCGCAACATGAGCGTCCCAAGTGGCAGCTACATGTGAGCTTGAACTGGGGGGAGCAAGTCGAAAGGAATTCTAACATATAGATTTATCAGTGTTCCCATAACATCAAGGTGTCAGCTGCAGTTAGAGCAAAGGAGGGGAGGAACTGGGATCGGAAAAGAAGTAGCATTCCATCCCAACCACTTTCGTTGAAGCACGCTGCCATAGCTGGAAGGGAAAAAGCGACTAGTAGACTTGCCATTGTAGGGATGAGAAACTAAAGCCAGAGATTGGTAGGCAGCTTGCGACAGCTGCAGGTTTGCTTTTTGATGGATGAGCAAGGACGACTTCTTTACTGTGTCGTTGGTGCCTCAGACTATCAATCAGGTATCGCTTCAACGGATGGTTCAAGTGTTCCGTAAATAAACATCCAATGTTTGCTTGTAGCATGCTTCACAAACATACACCTGACTCGTGCGCCGTGCTCTTTCTGGCCAACTGGACACGTTAGGTCACGTCGTCCTTGTCATATCCGGAGCGACAGGCATACCAGTTGCTCTATGGTGTGCCCGGCCTGTTTTCCATGGATTGCCACTCCATGGGTAAACATCCAGCTTGGTTGCTGAAGTTGGTGGCTGATCTGCATAGGCAGAACATATGCGAGTATATAGTGCGCAAACTGCAGATGAGTGGCTCTCACCAGTCACTGCTACAGTATTTTTCTTGCCATGTTTGGATGTGATTTGCAATCATTGCTGTCTGTGTGCCAGATTTTCGAGGGCTTGTGGAACGTGATGACACCATCGATTTGGATGACTCGGCTGAACACTCGCTGAACGACAAGCTCAAAGACCAGATGAGAGAGCTGGTCAAGAAATACGAATCCATGCAGGCCGTTGAAAGCGCCCAAAATTCAGCAGGGGATGCTAATGTTCCTCAAATTTCCTTCTAAATCCATTACAGAACCAGTGAGGATCCCCAACAGTCAAGTGCGGATTTCTTTGGACATAGAAACCAACCATTCTGACGCCTAATTGCTTGGTGCCGAACATGTTCATTTTTCATGGGTCCTCTCATTCAATTTGTCGCAGGATAGCAAGATGTCCAGTGCGAACATCACTCCACCCGACACCTCCTTGGCTGAAGCCTTGGAAAAGCTTCTGGCGCTGGTAATCGGTGAAAGCCTTCCCTGCCCCCGCCTTCAAGAGAGAAATAGAAAAGAAGGAGAAGGCAAGAGGGCAAGAGGAGAAAATGTGAAGAAAGATGAGAAGATGTGAAGATGAGAAGATGTTTTCCAGACCCCCACTATTGGAAGAACCCTGCGCTCAGACGCTCTCGGGAAAAATATACATAATATTTATACATAATATATACCAGTAGTACCGCACAAGGCGGTGGCGGAAGTTTCAAAAATAGGAAACCTATAGGAGAAGTTGGTTGTTGTGAATCAGGGATGGCAAAGCGAATCCACTGATGGATTGAAAGGTGCTTGATCTCTCTCACTCTTTCTCTCTCTTTCTCTGCCTATCTACCTACCTACCTACTTACCTACCTACCTACCTACCTATCTATCTTCTATCTATCTATCTATCTATCTTTCTATCTATCTATCTATCTATCTAGCTGTCTATCTGTCTAGCTGTCTACCTGTCTATCTTTGGTGTAGTAGTACATGTCGTGTAGTGTTGTTGTGTACTTTTACTTGTAGGTGCAGTTGAAGCGAAGCAACCTCTGCACCGCCAAACGTGGTCCGAATCCCTACTTTTTTTAACATTTTAACTTCCGAATATGCTTCGCGCCACAACGGCGTGCACTTTTTGGAAACTCCACATCTCAGCCTCCAAAAGTGGTCCGAACCCCTGGTGTTTTGCACATTTCGACTTCGAAATGTGCTTCGCGCCACAACGGCGTGCAATTTTTCGAAACTCGACCTCTGAGCCTCCAAAAGTGCTCCGAACCCCTAGTGTTTTTAACATTTTGACTTCCAAATGTGCTTCGCGCCACAACGGCGTGCACTTTTTCGACATCGCAACTTCCAAAAGTGGTCCGACATTGGTGTGTTTTGTACATTTTGACTTCAAAATGTGCTTCGCGCCACAACGGCGTGCACTTTTTCGACATCTCAACTTCCAAAAGTGGTCCGAGAATGGTGTGTTTTGTACGTTTTGACTTGGAAATGTGCTTCGCGCCACAACGGCGTGCACTTTTTCGACATCTCAACTTCCAAAAGTGGTCCGACCTTGGTGTGTTTTGTACATTTTGACTTGGAAATGTGCTTCGCGCCACAACGGCGTGCACTTTTTCGACATCTCAACTTCCAAAAGTGGTCCGAGACCGCCAGTTTTTAACACTTTTTGACTTCGAAATGTGCTTCGCGCCACCACGGCGTGCAATTTTTCATCGCTCCTGTGGCCAGCTGGCTCCGCACCCGCCGCTTTAGCGAGCCTACTTTTCGACCCTTCGGAGCCACAAATCATTGGAAAAACACAGTGTTTCGCGACTTTCCTACCTTTTCGCGCATCTGTATCTTCTTTCTTCTTACTCTTTCTCTTCTGATCTTCTCTCTTCTAATCTTCGTCTTCTCTCTGCCTCTGCCCTGCTCTGCTTTTCATCTGTCCATATTGTCGGAAGTTTGACTTCTAAACTTCCTTCGATTATATAAATAATATTTGCATATATTTATGTATGCATGCATATGTATATGAATATATATATATATTTAAATTAACATATATATATATATTGATGTATATGTATTAATTTACATATATATTAATTTACATTTATATACATATATATATATATATATTAATTTGCACATATATATATAAATAAGTTTACATATATATATATGTAACACATATACACACAAATTATTTACATAACAGAGAATACAGTATTGTCTATATTTCTCAAACTCTCCACCAGTCCGGACAACCGAGGCCCCGCCCTATCAGGACGGTCGGGAGCAGTCTGGCAATTACAAGAAGTAGGGATGCCTCAGGATTTTAAGGTCGGAGGTTTCCGTAAAATGGCGGTACCCCAATAGCTGGATGGTTTATAATGGAAAGTCCGATTTATAAACGGATGCTGTAGGGGTACTCACATTTTAGGAAACTTCCCGGTGTGTGGGGAACTGGGGGTATCCCCGAAATGACAATTAAATGATGGGGAAAATGGGTGAGATGGGCCAGGTGGGTGATTTTTCACAACCATGAATTGTCCAGGGTTGATGAATTTCCATCCAGCTCTGATTGCTGGTCAGAGCCATGCATGATTGGATGCGGACCTCCAGTTGGGGATCACTGCGGCACTTTTCCATTTTCAAAAGTGCCAAGTTGGTGAACAATTACGTCGTTCGAGTTGCAGCCTGGAAGACGCTGCAGCCTTGTAATTATAATTGGATCTGAATCAATAATTTTCCACTCTTTTCCTGAGCGCTTTTGAGAGAGAGAGAGAGAGAGAAAGAGTGGGTGATTCTAGAAATACTTTCTGAGGTGGATATTGCTGGTCATTGTTGTGGCCGGGTTTCCCAGCGCCAAAAACCCACTGAAAGGTTTGGGGTCGGAGATCAGGTGGAAAGTTGGCACCTAGTGAAACCTGCAGCACCGGGGATGGAGGGGAAATGCCTATTGTTGGTCCACATTTATGGGGTGAAATTATGTTCAATCCTTGTTGGTTAAATTTGCCAATCACCGGATGTTTGTCTTACCGCAGATGGTACAAGTGGAGGCCGGCACATGGGGATCCACCAAAACTGGTCATTTTCAGATGGTGAAACCAATGCAACTATCAGTAACTATCAAAACCATCCATTCTTTGGTTTGATTGTTCAGTTTTCAACCATCCATTTTTCGGGTCATGATTTTGACCCAGGCTCAACTTTGGCCACTGGAGACGTTGCACCTTTGATTTGACTAGGCATTACATAATTGTAGAAAAGACTGATATTTGGAAGGCTTTCCTGAAATTCAATGGTTCTTATGTCCGTATATACATATGTATATATATATATATGTTTGTATACATGTATACATGTATACATGTATACATATTATATATGTATTTGTATACATATGTATATATATATTGATATGTGTATATATATATATGTATATATATACATATGTATTATGTATATAAATATATATCGATGTAAATACATATACATATATATATATGTAGATGTAGATTTATATACATATGTAGATGTATATACATATGTAGATGTAGATGTAGATGTATTTACATTTGTAGATGTAGATGTAGATGTATAAACATATGTAGATGTAGATGTAGATACATATGTAGATGTAGATGTAGATGTATACACATATGTAGATGTAAATATATATATATATCGATGTAAACACATAAATAAATATATATATATATATATGTAGATGTAAATGTATATGCATATGTAAATGTTTATACATATGTAGATGTAGATGTAGATGTAGATGTATTTACATATGTAAATGTAGATGTAGATGTAAACATATATATATATATATCGATGCAAATACATATATACATATATACATATATATATATATGTAGATGTAAATGTATATACATATATACATATATACATATATACATATATACATATATACATATATACATATATACATATATACATATATATATATGTAGATGTAGATGTAGATACATATGTAGATGTAGATGTAGATACACATGTAGATGTGGATGTAGATACATATGTAGATGTAGATGTAGATGTAGATGTATATACAAATGTAGATGTAGGTGTAGATGTATATACATATGTAGATGTAGATGTAGATACATATGTAGATGTAGATGTTGATGTATATACATATGTAGATGTAGATGTATATATATATATAAATTGATGTAAATACATATGTAGATGTATATGTATTTACATATGTAGATGTATATACATATGTAGATGTAGATGTAAATGTAGATACATATGGATGTTGAAAAACTATTGAGTGCCTATGCAATGCCAGGCCATCATCGTTCTGGTGATCATTTGGGCCAATCAGGGGTGCGCCCTGTGGCAGAGATACGGGCCCAAAATTCAGGGAAATGTTGATGGAGGATTTAAGCAGCTGGAGCCTTCCATCGGACTTTGCGAAATCGCTGGCAGGTCAAAGGGTGATGATGAGAAGAAGGCGCTGATCATGTACATTTGAGGAGTGAAACTCCACTAGCACCCGGCGCCCCTTCCCACGTTGTGACCATCCGTGACCACTGCGGCAGCGTTAGGCTGTTGGTGGTTTTGTTTCTTTTACAAGCTGGCTTAAGGCCTGCAGGTCGTCGTGCAAAAGGGGAACGAAATGCAGGAAATTAATAATTAAAACATATATCAAAAACAGTTTCACTATGTTTCACTACTACATGAATCGACTTGATAAGCAGCTACAGGTTTAGCCAAGTTCCATGTCTTGTGTGCGTTTGACTCGAGAGTCTCACCCTTTGCCACGGCGAGAACTTTGCTTGTGACTGGCTGCCATCTGGCACTGAGTTGGCCACACAGAAGGGAGGCACAGCTGAGAACTGTTTCAATCCAAAGGCTTCAAAGGGATCTTTTCCGTGCTTACTGTGCTTACTTATATAATCTTACTTAGATTCCTCCACGTTTTGGTGATAGCATGTTATATCTATTCCATGCTTGTTGCTTATGTTCTGTGAACCCGTGGTGGGTTCAATCCCTACATTCGTTAACCGTGGGTTTTCCCAACGGGTGCCTCCCTGTCTCGGGGCCACAGGCTGAGCCTCTGGCAGCTGCAAGGCATCACCTAAAAGGGCGTGGTTCTTGCAGCTACTGGAGGATGATTACTATAATTGGGAGAATACATGGAGGATAATTCTCCAAATATCAAAGAGATAGAATCATTTTCTAGTTATTATTTATCATCCACAGATCAAGTCATTGAGGATAAATGCAGGATAATTCTTACATAATTTTTGGACTTATAGTTAGTTAACATTAGTTAACTATATTAACAACATGCGATCATCCCATCCAGTCAATCCAGTCAATCCAGTCACCAAGTGATCTTAGTTTTTTTTGCATGTGTGTATGGGATTGGTAGCGTCAAGCAATGCATAAGGCATAAACTGCAGTTTCTCGATGGGTTAGGAGCTGGTAAGTAACACTACAAGGACTATAAGTGTAATAGATTTTTAGTGCGGAGACCCCTATGACTTGGCGCCCTACTTATTCCTCACCAGGGTTATAAACTGGGATGACGCTCCAACTCGCATGCAAGATTTGATCACAGCTGCATATGGAATGTATGTAATGATGTAACCACCAACCAGGGGCATATACATCAACCAGAAGGGCTGCCGCGCAAGTCGGCTTGAAGCCCCCTTTATATTGGGCCGTTTTTTGAGCAATTGCCTTTCAGAAAGTTGTCGGTTCAAGTGCTGAAAACTCAGTACTTGGCGAGCGGCGAGAGCTGGTTAAACTCAGAAGTGATGGTTAACTCAGGACATTTCGCGAAACCTTCCCTGTTCAAACTCTGAAAGCCACATTTCCTGATTTCCCGAAGACCTGAATCTCAGCGACTGGACATATTTTGTCACCACGGCCACGCAAAGAGGTGGATGTGACAATGTGGAGTTGGGATGAGCTGGGCTAGGGAATGCTAGGGAACAAACATTGGGAAGGCAAGACGTTTTTTATCTTTGCAGAATGGATGCAGTCATCGGGCAGTGCACTGTGAAATAAGGTATCCACGATATCAACGTCTTATATGGGGTTTGGTGAAATGGTGGGGTACCGATGGTTTAGAATGGAAAATCCGATTTATAAATGGATGATGTGGGGGTACCCATGGGTATCTCTCTAGGAAACCTCCATATGATCCTCAAACCTTCAGTGTCCTCCAGGCCACGGCGAGAGATCTTGTCCCATGTTTGCGCTGCCACCAACTGCTCAGGCAGCACATCCTAAGTCTGTTCAGGGGATTCTATCATTTTAATTCATTCTATATATAAGTCATTTGGGTGTTTCTGGTGTTTCTTAGAAATTGGGGTACCCTAAAACCAGGTTTACCCAGTGGAAAGGATCCATGGATGGAGGATTCTTGGGTCCTCATTTTCGGATCTCAGGCAGGCGCTGTGGCCGCCGTGCCAGCCGCGCCAGCCGCCGTGCCAGCCGCCCCATTGGTGACGTTCTCAACACCTCAAAGCGACTTCGAAAAGAGGTCCGACCTGGGGACCTGAGGACCTGAGAATGTACCTTATGCTTTGGATGCCAATGGTGCAAGATTCTGGAGAATCAACAGCAAACATTTCTTTTTCTGTGAAGTCTAGGCGCTGTTTTGACATTTGATCAGACGAAAGTCCTGAAATTTGGCAGGGAAGTAGTCTTTTCGCAGCAAGTTCCCGTGGAAGAAAGAAATGCAGGGGCGTGGAATCCTAGCAACCTCGCGGGCAGATGCAGGCACTTGAGAGTGAGAATATGCCTCACTCTCCAGGTTTTAAGCCCAACCCCCATGGACCAAAGCCCTCGACTCAAAGTTGAGGTGATCATTGTACACCAGTACATGGGCGAACCTGGCACAGCAGGACAGGAGGCTTGCGATGTTCACAATCTTCACAATCTTCACAATCTTCACAATCTTCACAATCTTCACAATCTTCACAACCACCAGTTGCTTCACACCTTTTTCCATCCCTAGAACATGTAGAATGTAGATGTCAAGGCAAACACGTGGACGCAATGTCGCTTTTTACATAGAATCGAGATCTGAATACCTGAACTTATTGTACTGTAGCTGAATTTACATCACTACAAGACGATAGGGTGAGGGGAGGTGTAAAAGATGCGTCAAGACGAAAACTCACTGTTTCTACATGAAGACCCCATGCAGATTGTGCGCTATGATGACTATGTGCGCAATCAAGAGTGGCAACACCTTGGGTGACTCCAGCGAGTTGGAGCCGCGGGCCAGAATGTAATGCAGAGACAAACATGTTTGAGTTCGAAGATTCGACAGGGTCATTCTCTTGATTCGACAGGGTCATTCTCTTCAACGTGTATAGCATGCAATCGCAATACCAGGACCACAATCCGGATATGATATCATCGTCTAGAATGCCTATGATATCATCTATCTGCATTTCTCTATTTGTGTGCCAACACATGCCTTCAAACACAGATCACACTATCGATTCGCATCAGCAGTGCCAGGCCAATCCTGCCGACTGCAGAAGAATTGGCAGCCCGAATGCAGGCGGGTGTCACAGCAGCCAGCGACAGTATCCCTTGAAGTCTGGGGTCTGCTAGTGGGTCATATCAAACCATAACATCCTGCTGACTTGGAACCTGTTGTGCGAGGTCCAGCAGCAGGTACCGGAGAAAAGAGGGGCAGGGTGTTTGCCCTAGTTGTGGTCAGTTGTGGTCAGGTGCAAGCGCACAAGACACGGAATGGGTTCTTTGCACCAAGAAACCCAACACCAATACGCCCTTTGCGAATCTGTTGACGGTCATCTAAGGCGTCCAATACGCCCTATGGTTTCAGGTCATAGGAGAGGCCACGCGACAACTGCAGTTCTTGATGCCTGAGGTACAGAAGTCCTCCATCCGTCTGGGATGTAGCTCCCAAGGCAGTTGTGCAAATGTTTCTTTTTTGTTGTTTTCTGTTTTTCATAATTTGCCTCCAAACAAGAGAAGACATGCACTTAATCTGCTAGGCTATATGCAAAAAGAGAAGGTGGAAGTAACTTAGCTTCTGTCTCACGCTTTTAGGACTGTCCAACATTCTGTGATTGCCTTTTTAGCTGACCTGGTTTTGCAGAAGGGCAGGTAGCGAGGCTTTGGACGCAGCACACCATTGCCCTGTTGCAGGGTGGAAAGGCCTCAAAAGCCCCGCGAGTCAACCCGTCAGGGAACCTCGGGAACCTGAATGTGTTTTCTTGCTGGACATTTTCGGCAAACAGATACAAGGTTGAGCATATAATGTAGTATATGATAAACCTATCATTTGGGGATGGTATTATACCACCCATATATATATATTGCATTTTGTTGCAATATTGAGGATGGGTTAAAGTTATAATTTTGTTTGCAATGTATTAAACATGATGCATATTTATCCATAGCATGTTCCAAAATCATGCAGGATCTCATTTCTGGCCTCAGGTTCAGTGACAAAGCACGACTCAGCGCAACTGGAGAGTATGTGAGGGGCACCCAACGCCATTTCAGCTGCAGCTGCCGTGCCACCTGCCTTCTGCCTGCATTGGAAACAACGAGGTGACACGAGTTTTGAAGTCAGACACCCAGTTTTTGGACTAGACAAACAGGTATCAACAAACAGGTATCATACCTGGCATTTTGCATGCTTTTGCAGTGTCTGGAGGGTTTTAGTTACACATCCAGCATAGTCTGTCGGTTGCATCACTGAGGAGTGAGTTCCTGGACGAGAAGGGCCTTCAAAACTTCTTTTCCAGCCCAGAGGCATGCTTTTCTCGCATAAAGAACAGATAAGAACGAGTCATGGTTTATTCAGCAACACGAGAGAGTAATTGACTATGAAGACTTCTTTAATGCTGTTCCGGCAATTTTGATTTTCCTTGCTGTTTCCATTGGTTCAGGAATTTGCATGCTTTGTATACTGCTGAATGTTTTCCTGATTCTTGCAATTTGCTCAGGCAGTCTCCTACGAAGAAACTCCATCTGCCAAACCAGCCATGTTTAGACCCGGTACAGGGGTACTATCCACATTTGTTTTTGAGCAGGTATTGCACGTCCAATCCAAGCCTGCTGGGAGAGCGAGCTAAAGTGATTCAAGATCAAACATTCAAACTCTTTGCAACACCAGTTTTTCTGCGTGTGTAGCCCAGTTCACACACGGGCTGCGATACACAGCCCGAAGGGAAGCAAAGAACTTGAAGCTTCGAAATCTTGGCCAGTTGATACTGTGATCCCCACATGACAGGTTTGAGGGGCCGTGGATACTGCAAAATGCAGCTGGTCATCGGTTCATTTCCCTGAAATCTGCCGTGTCTCACAGATTCTTCAAAAAGTTCAGTATGCGGTCGAAGTGTCGCTGTTTTTGGCACGGAAACGTCCGCTGCATCTGGGGAAGAATTGCCGCCTTTATCGATTCTTTGCACGGTACTTGTACTTGGCAACCTGGCACAGTAAAAACTATCATATCACTTTGTGTTTCCATCTTGGTTCCTTGCCGGGCATACATGTGTGGCTTTCATGTGTGAAGCTTTTCTTGTGCCTGAAGCAGATAAATGTGAAGACAGCACAACAAGTCCATTTGACAATGCAAGTTCCCAGATTCTATGTCACATGGCTGCGGCAAATACGTTCCCAAGGAAGTTCATCCGACAAATGACGTTTTCAGCATTTTTCAGCCATGCAGTAGCAAGAATTGCACACCCATTCAAAGTATCTTAAAGTCACTATAACCTCCTTGCATCATGGATCAGTTGGGTCAGCTCCCTCCTGGCTTTGCGCTGGCCTCAAAAAAGCCGTCAACACTAAGCGTTGCACCTGGGCTTTGACACTGTGAGGGCACCTGAAAGTTTGCTTCACAGGACAAAGTCAAGTACTGTAATGCAAAAGATATTTTGATCATTTTTGATCTACCCTCTGGTAATTTAACATAGCTATGGAAAATCACCATTTATAGTGGATTTTCCTATTGAAAATGGTGATTTCCCATAGTTATGTTAAATTACCAGAGGGTATTTTGACTTGATCACTTCAGTAGCTCAAAAAGTCCACAGCCACATTCTGGTAAGGATCGGTCCGATCCGTTTGGGCAGAAAAAGGCAAGAAACCGAGGGTTCCATCTATGGAACGTATGGGAGTTGTCTCAAAATCTGGAACCCCATCGCCACAGCCTGATGTCTTGTCCCGTACCACGCTTGTCATGATGATGATGATGATGATGATGATGATGATGTTCGCGACTATGACTATAGGATGATGGTGGGCATGAAGATTAGGATGACCATGAAAGGCCTTTTTGCGTATCGCCACGGTGAAAAAATGGTTGTGTCTTTTGACATGCTTTCAGTTTTTTTTCCACAATTCAAAACCGCAGCAGCAAGTGAGTCTTGGTGTACTTTTCAGTTAGATTTCCTTGTAATAAGGATAACAAACTAAGATTCACCAGCAATAGTGAAAATTCTCAGCTTGTTCGAAACAACCGTACAATAAGCTGACAATTTCCATTTTTGTGGCACGTTTCGGCACAGACAACTCTCTTCGCCGGAACCTTTCGGCCGCAACGCAGCAAATCTGCTGGAGCCCCATCTGTCAATGGGAGGGATATTTGGCAATCTGACCTGGCAACGGAACCCCCGCATCCATAGATGATCTCTCAAAATTCAAAATACGTAAGCATAAAATACAGGGGAATTGCATGGATTTGCCATTGCAATATTTTGCGGGTAGAGTCAGTTTCAGGTCGGGTTCTCAAATAAAATGAGCTGAGGAATTCCTCCCTCTTTTGGGAGGATGTCGTACCCTAAGGCGAAATTGGTTGCAGAGGCATCCTTGTCCAGGGCCTAGACTGCCGAGGAAACGTTTGGCACAGCTTGTCAGGACTGATGTTCTTCTTGTGTTTGTGCATGGCACAGCTGCTTTTGTCTTACTAATGATGATGATGATGATGATGATTATTATTATTATTATTTCGATGGTAACACAAATGCATTCATAATGCTGGTGTTGGTAAGACGTTGGAGATTTGCAATGCTGGTGAAGATGGGGAGACGCCACTGCAATGGCGGTGATGGCGTACCCTCAGCGCTGTGTGAGTTTGCTTTGATGTGATTTTCAATTTGAGGCGCACACCGAATGGCCTTTCGCCCAAGGTACAAACACCGGGGATGTCAAGAGGTAAAAATTGTTTGTCTAGCATTTCAGGACTGTCTACTTTTGTCATGAGTTTGTCTATTTCAGGGTGGCTCTTTGGGACAATCCTATCATTGTATGCGACACAACGATGCACCTGTTCCCAGATGGCTCACTCATAAAAACAGCTTCCGACGGTTGTGCACTTTCCGAGCGGTGATTCATGAGGATGGTGGCAACAGAAGCCAGGAACCAAGTAAAGAATTGTTTCGCAAGACTGAGCTGTGGGTTGACCTTATCCTAACCAAGGTCGACCAGACACAAGTCGTCCTGTCACTGGAAGTGATGGTCCGGTGATCCCAGGAAGGTGTAATTTGGATGTCGATGGGCGGTTTACTGATCTCCATGCATCTCCATGCTTCCTCATTGGAACATTTTGCCGAATCTTGCCAAAGAAGTATGCTTTAGGTCTGGCTGGTTGACTGAGATCAATGAAGCGAACCTCCACCATGGCTGCTACGCTTTGTTTTTTGAAAAGTATTGGTACCTGACAGGGCCATGATAACAACAATCAGAATAAGTTCAGCAATAACCCCGAGGATGGCTGCAACCTGAACTTTGACTTTGCCAACAACATTGAGATGAACAATGCTGCTAATGACACATGACACAAGCACCATGAACAGCAACAGCAACAGCAACAGCAACAGCAACAACAACAACAACAACACCAACACAGACACAGACAGTGACAAGTCACAACGACAAAAAACACAGGCACAGGAACATAGGAAACAACTTTCGGTGAAAGGATGAAGAAAACCAACACAAAAGACACGTAGAAAGGGCAGATGGGAATTGCAGATTGTAACAACAGTCTGAGTCTAAGGTCCACAATCAAACAGCATCAAATTGCTGGAAACAAGATCCGCGCAATCTGAAGTTCTTGGATGTTTTGCTCATCAATGTTTGTTTGTGTCTGGTGTTTGCCCCAGTCTTGTTTATTGTTACATTTTACATTGATTGATTATCTTCATCCCTATATCCGCCCTCATCTTCATCCTCATCTTCATCCTTATCTTCGCTCTTATCTTTGGCTTTGTCATTTGTTGCGGTTGCTGTTGGCCTTTTCTGTTTGCTGTTGCTGAGAAGATGAGGTGCCGATGCGGGGCTCGATGACATGTGGGACCGGGCTGCACGAAGTGGTCACGAAGTGCTCGCAAACTTCGATGTCCTTCGGTTTGTTCGGAGGTTGTTGCGGTGACTTTTGTTGATACAAGTCACAGTTCGAGCCAAATCATTTGTGAAGTTAAGAGTTGAGAGTCTAGAGAGAACCGGAGCCACCATTGTAGTCACTTTTCTTGTCAGATTGGACTTGTTACGGTCAAACTTGCCATTTTGTCAATACTGGAAACTGAACCCCTTGCGATTGGATCGGCAGGATGCTTTGTCCATTTTCTCCTTGAGGGACCATGTCAGCAGTCTTCTTCAGCAGTCACCAGCTCGGTGTTTCGTTGACACTGCTATTATGGAAATCGGAAATCGTATTAATAAGTAAGTAAGATCAGAGGCCGGCACCGTCGGCCACTTCAGTGTTGCTTGAAACCTGCAGAACCCGAAGTTGCTCACCAGGCCCCTACCAACGAGAGGCGAAGGCATCAAGGAGCCGCAGATCGTGGCAGTGATTCACCCTACCCCCAAAAGATCGAAAAACCTTGCAGGCACATCACAACATGCACGCCTCGCTCCAGAAATGGATCCAATGACAGTGAAATCTTATTAGAGTAGTTGTCAATAGTAACTTACTTTTCCATACTTTTCCTATTTTCTTGTTTTTTTTGGGGAGTTGCTACATGCTCGCTATGTCCAGGACTATGCCAAAGAGAGCAGCATAGGGCCTCTGCCTGTGAGCTTCCCAGGATGCATTGGATGCGTTGTGGGTGGGTGATTGGTCATGGTTGTGTAGAGGTTATGGAAGTGGTTGATTTACTATCCAGTGGTCAGGAGGGAGCCGAGGTAGGGCTATCCATGTTCTTTACTCGGGAGCCAAGGAGCTACTAAGAGTTTCCCAACATGACTGGAAATATCTGGCAGCACTTGAATCGCGTCGCATGCCCTAGTAGGTGTAAACCAGACAGGAAATCAATCCAAGTAGCAATGATTGGAAATGGATTTGGTTTTTCCTTCAAATTCTTCGGATCCTGTTTTGGGGGAAGAGCAATGCCATGTAGGATTTGCTCGTCCGTCGCAGCTGAAGCTTCATGATGCCATGTCGATGCCAGGTGTTTTTCAATCCCAGACTGGATTGAATTTTTACATTTTGGAGGACACCAAGCCATAGTTATAGAATGGGAGGTACTGTAAATCACGAGATTTTGATGGGTTCCTAGAGGTTTTCCCTCACACCGACCCAGTGAATACAACATCTTTTCTTCAACTTATCACTAGCAGAACTAGTGCAGGTGCGTGCTGTATCAGCTGGAATCTGAAACAGACATGCTTTTGTGGTGCAACATGGTGCAACAGATAATTGCTGAAATCAGCACAAGGAAGTTCTACAATCCACTAAGAATTGAGATTCGGTGTTGTCAGCGGACACACGGCCCTATCAAATGGAATCAACAACACTGTCAAAAAACAATTGACATTCGAGGGGCCGCATTGCCAAAGATGGTTCACACGATTACGTGTAGTACATGTATGTATATACTATATATATATATATTATACATACATTTTAATACATGTGTGTATATACACATACCAATACAACGTACTTGCATGTATAAATATATCACACTACGAACCACCAATACACATACCGACATCGTTGACGTGTGCCCTCTTTCTGATGGTCCATTTGGTCCTGGAGCGTCCACGGGAATCGGTGCTGCCGTTGCTCATTCAACATTGCATTGGATCCAACAGAGAATCCAGCAAAAACCCCGGGCGGACGGATGTTTCCAAAAAGCCCTTCTGGAGCATTGCCTTCCCCATCTACTATGTCCTGCTGAGCTTTACCTGCAACGTGCTGTTCCTGGTGGGATCATGCCTTTTTTTGCCCATTAAGAGCTCGCAGGCAAGTGTATCCTTCACTTTTGTGGTGGAGAACATTGATGTGGACAAAGTGATGACTTCCAACAAAGGAGACCTTTTTGAGTACCCTGTCGCGAAATCCAGCTTGAGATTTTAGACATTTTAGGGGCTTTGAATTTCTGTTTTCTTGGTGCATGAGGTGGGACCATGGAGGCGAAATCTCGGATTTGCAGCTATTTCAGTATTTGAGGTATTGGCACACGTGTGGGTCAAGCGTTTTGCATCTAAAAATGCATTGAAAAGGGATGACCCGTGTCCATCATTTGACTGCAGCGTATGCTGTTTTTGCCAAATGTCCTTTGCATTCTGTGTGCTGTAGGCAACTTGAGAACAACTTTACAGGCGGGGCATCTCAAATGAGGACCAGTCCAAGGGTCAAAGCAGATGAACCCGCTTGGAGGTGATACCTTATCACCATCCATATGCCATATAGATCTGTATGCATATATATATACATACATGATGTGTGTGTATTTGTATTTGTGTTTGTCTCTAGTGGAATATATATATATGTACTGGATATGTCCAAGTCCATGTCTATGTATGTGTGATTTTATGTGTATACTGTATATGTATGTATACATGTATATGTATGCATATATTTGTATGCATGTAATGCAATGCAGTGTAATGCAATGCAGTGTAATGTAATGCAATGCGATGTAATGCAATCTAATGCAATGCAATGTATATCATTAAGTGTAATGCAATCGAATGTAATGCGATGGAATGTATGTCCTTTGATTGGTTCTGGGTTTGATAATTTTCATTCCCGTTATGTATATATATAGTCATATATACATAATAATTCGTTATATGCAATAAACATCATACATACCATGATCATCATGGATGAACATCGACATCACCATTTAGCCTGTGAGGCGCCTTAGCTTCGGACCAGAGCAATCGAATCAAGCCGCATCACACGCCACTTGTCGATGAAACTGCGCAGCGACATGTGACTGCGCAGCCATGGGGATATGAGTCATGATCAATCATCGACATGGAGTTATATAGGGATAATACTGGATATATAATAGGGATAGAAGAGGGATATGATAGGACACACCCACACACATTATCATGTATATATATATATGCCCACAATATATATATATATATTCAACATAGTATGATATTTGGATTTGGTACCTTATGGCGGTGAAATAATAAGGACAATGATTATGAACCACTGGATTATTTTATTGTCCCGCTTAAAATTTTCAGGTTTCGACAGTTGGCCCAGAGCCATAGTGACACCGGTTGTTTTCCCCCTCATCAGTGGATTGGGTCAGGCAACAAAATACAGGAAACCATGTTTTTTTGATATTTTTTTTGTGTCTCACATCCAACTCATGGTGTTTTTCTCTGTGAAGAGCCACTCCTAAAACCTCCTAAAACCAGGCATTTCCAGTGGAGAAAGACCACCTCGTGCAGCCTCGATGAAGCGATGCTCTTCGATGTGAACATCTATCCACGCGATGGGAATAACATCACTGCCTTGCCGCCTGGCGTCCGGCGCCGAAACATGGGTGGGGAACCTCCATTTGGTAGATGATGTAGATGGAAAATCATGAAAGATAGCCCTGTTGATTAGGTATTCTAGCAGATTCTACTGCTGCTGGTTTAATGCAGATGATAATAAGCCATAGTAGGAAACCGAGCAGAACGACAGATGGGAAAACGAGGGGTTTTCAAACCCTCCAGATCCTCCAGGCAGTCCTCCTTGCCATCTGTGCAAACCATCTCCCATGCCTTAAATCGTTCCTTTGCAGCCAATGGGATCGACAAAGTCGCTACTGGCCAGGTTCAGGCACCTCGGTCACCGATTTGCTGTGCCGAAAAAACGATGGGAAAATTCCACGGCATTTCTGGGGATGCGGCAGATTTGCTGAAATGCTTCAGGAGTGGCTTCAGTATGTGGGGATTTTGAATGGCAATCCACCAGCCATGAACTTCACCAAATCTCCAGGTGAACATTGTGAACCGCCCACGCATCATGGAAACCTCAGTGGTTCAAAAGTGGGCCGTGGATTTTGGCTGCACACTTTTCATCATTGGATCAGCTCTCTTGGCAGCCATCTCTGGTCTGGATTTACTGGAAGACATGCTCACCTGTGGCGCCTCGGCTGGTCTTTCGCCGGCCGGGTTTTCTGGGGATGCCTTTTTTCCCAGTGGCTAAGGATTGGAATAGTATATTATATATAATTATATTATATGATCATATTTCATCGACTTTTTGAACAATGTGAAATGCCCCCCCAATTCACAGACTGGTGCCAGGTCTGAAGCTGCCAAGTCCTAAGACCCTGACCCAGGGGTACGAAGCTTGGCAGTTGATATTGCCATCTATTTCTTATTGTATACCATTGTCATTGTCACTAGTCACCTTGCTGTTGCCAATTGTCTTTTTTTTCAGCCCACTTTTTTCTTGGAAGATCGATATATAGAGGATGGTCTAGCCTTGTCATATTCTGTTCTAAATATGCATTTTTTTAAAAACACTTCACGAGGTTTGGATTTTTTTGAGTACTCTTTTTTTCTGCATTGAAGATGGCCAGGAATTCCTGGGAAGTGAGCCATCTTCGACATTGCCACCTGACGCTCCCGTGGTTGTGAGTGCTCGGGCCGAACGTCTGTTGTACCTCACCGGCGGATTGATCTTTCTCATTGGCACCTTCTACTTTCAGCATCCACAGATGGTCAGTTCGAGAGTACCCTCCGAAGTGATGCAAGATGAAGACGTGTTGTATGCTGCCATTTGGATGTTTATCATTGGATCCATCATTTTTGTGTTTCTCGTCAGCAACCTCTTGAAGGCCTTGGAAGGCCTTGGAATGCCTTGGTCCTGGGTCCAACGGATAAAAAACCCAAAGAATGCACCATGAAGGACGGCAAGACGACCAGTGTTATGATGATGATGATGATGATGATGATGATGATGATGAGGGTAGAAATGGTTTGTCATTGATGTTGTACTGTGCTTTTGTTGTTTCCCGATTCTAAGTGTCCAGCCATGCCATCCGACTGCGTGCCCAGTTTCGTTGTGCCACGATTTGGAATCCTGGGATTCCAAGCGGGCACAGGATACTGTACCCCAACTCCAAACGACCAGAGCTGAGTTGACCTTGGTTTGAACCAGTTATATAAACATAGTTAAACCAAGTTAAACCAAGTTAAACCAAGGTTTGCAACATTTCTGAATGCTTTGTCCCTGAACTCTTCGGGTCGCACCTTTGCTCATTGGGCTGTGGCCACTTGTGGCATCTACGAGCTCGGCGGGATTTTGTTCGTCATGGGTTCGGTGCTCGTGGCAGGGATCAGCTGGGCTTGGAGATTCTTGTTCCCTCAAAGACTAAGGAATGGGATCTTCCATGGACAATTTCCAAACACATCCAAACATGTAAGTGCCTTTCAAGACAGATTGAACATCTAAGCACAGCATATCCGAACATACCTTTCATGAATAGATCTTTTCCAGCAAGCCCATAAGACGCATCCGGAACACTTGTTGCCACTGGCTTATGATGTTTGCAAGCATACTATTAAATAGAATAATGCTGACTGCCTGGATGGTCGAACTATTCCCACAGTCGACTTGGAACGAGAAAACCATTTGACGGGGAAAATACGGGGTAAGACAGCTTTGCTTTCTGTCATGGAAGGGTGTTCGAGGTTCCAAGAGGTTCCGAAGAGTTTTGCTTACACTGTAACGGATGTGGAAGGTTCTGAGAATTTCTCATTCGCAGGTTCTGAACCAGAATCCACCATTTGGTTCCGGATTTTTCCAAGATTTTGCCAGAATTCCCCATTTGCCAGCGTATGTGAGATCACTGCAAGGGTGTCACGTTGAGAGAAAGACAGCAGCGATGATGTTAGCCACAGATTCCAACATGGCAAGAACAGACAATGAATGATTTGTGACATTTCTCAGACTTATCGGACAACCTGAATGCCAAAGAATGCCTGTGACGCAAAACTGAGGTGTGTTTCATGCCCAATCAGGGCTGCAAGGAGGGTATGGAAATCCTTGGTGCCTGGTGCTTCATTGTTGGTGCTGCATGTTACATGTTGGGAGACTTTATTGAGTTCATGATGCTTGGCTTTACGGGTGCCACGTTTGGTCCAGCTACGAACTGGGAGACATCCAGTTCCCTACTACGGTGGTTTGAAAATTAAGCGAGGTGATCATTCTATAATTGTGCGACTGTTTCTTTCCATTTTCTTTCCTGTGCAGGGCGTAACAATGAACTGATCATCCGTGCAAAGTCCATCTGCAAGATGCGAGGGGTATGGGAGACTCAAGTCATTTACCCAGCTGATTTCTCCGTTTTGGCCATGACGAATCCCAAATCTCAGGAAGACGTGCGCTCTCATCTTTCTACGCCTAAAACAAGAGGAAGCTGCACGTCAAATCGAACGTGCGATGCTCTGTTATTTGTTCCGACGGCGACTTGAAAGTGCTACCAGGCAGCATCTAGGGATGGCCACAGGTTGCATTGCGAGTAGTGTCGAATTGAAGGGTTGTCTTGTGTTTTCTTGATTCCGAGACAACGCTTGGGTAATGTCCAAAATAGATATGAGGATGATCAGGATGGGTTCACCATAAGCCATCGTTTGGATAGAACAAATATGTAGAAACTAAATACCTGCGTACTTTGACTTGGAGACATGGAAGAATTTGATGAGAAGGTGAACATTGGCACATCATGGGCATAAACGGCGCTTTCCTTGTTTTGCCAGACTTAGGTGGGGAGGTTGACACGCTCCCGCCCCGTACCGAGCAGCAAATCAGCTCCTTCTAGGGGTCGACGAGAGAGTTTGAAAGAGGCTGGGCCTTGGAGGAATCCATGGTTGACCGCGATCGTCTTGACGCGGCTTAAAAAACAGATTTAGAGTAACAAAAATGACCAAAGACGTTAAATTTCTTATCCAATGGCCTTGGAGCAACTCGCTGAGCCACATTCCAACTGGGATGACGTTGCCGATGTCCAAGGATTTATCCCATCCTTTCATCCTTTCAGGTGGAAAAGACATGGGTTGATCGCCGGTCACGTCCCTCTTGAATTCGGTTGATGGAACGCTTAGAGGTCTGTTGCCAGTTTTGCACTACCCGAGCGACTTTGTTTTAACAAGTGATACGTCCAAATTGCACCCTTCAAATCCCATCCCCAAGAAGTTATATAGTGAAGCCAATGGATTCCGGAAGTCTTAAATCATAAATCGTTGAACACAACCTTTTTTTCTGAGCAAATGAGACTGTCACTTGTTCAAGCGGCGAGTCACTTGTTCAAGCGGCGATCCTCAGGTGGGCTTGGTAAGAGCCTTTACAGAGGCATTGGGACAGCAGCCGATTATCCAAGCCCTGCAACTCCGAGATATTCCCAAGTTGGAATGTGCTGGTGCATTTGATCGCCGGAAGGAACTGCAGCTGGGCAGAATCTTTTTGTATATATATGTATATCTATATATATATACACATATAAATATGATATTTTTGGTAGGTCCAGTGGCCGGTGGGTATGGAGGTAGTCAGGGTAATTACGGGGGAACATACCAGTGGTTAGTGGTTGAGCCAAGTCAATTCTGTGACAAGGTCGGCTCCTACAAGCTCTTGGCCCATGGCTCGGCCCATGGTCTGAGATGGGGGTCTCATCCTTTGAAAGCATGAGACAGCCTTCGTTTCAGCGATAGCGTGATTGTTTCTGAAACTTAGCTGACTTAGCTCCTTTGAGCATCGGCGTCCATTGCCCAGATCAGATTGGATTTCGAGAATTCTGGTAATAATCGGACACGACACCTTTTATATAGTTGGCGGTGAAATTGATTGATCTACAAGAACTAGTCCAGGAAATTTCGCTTTGTTTGAGGGGTTCTCGACTGGTGCGTTTCTCTTCCCTTAGTGGATGCATCTGCCCGGAGAACCCCCTGAGAAAATGCCTGATCCGCGGAATCTGGGCTCTTGGACCAACCCATGTGGATTCGGTTCCGCAGAAAGACTGGGCGATTCTGCGGCTGGTTGGCTGAGAGTACAATGGATGGGCTACAGGCTTGGCAGCTGTGAACCCGGCAAGCCTGGCACACAAAGCCGGGAGGCTTGAAATGTTGAACGTTTGGATCCGACGCCAGGATTTTGTTTTTAGAATTACTGTAATTGCCGTGTCCACTAGACTCACTAGACATTCTGCAAAACATCCAGCTAAGTGCGTCGGACCCATTTTAAAGCTTAGATTTTTGTTGAGGCACAGGTTGCTGCCTAGCAGCAGCGCATGTCGTTTTCGAGAATTGGAACGGAGGTACCACCGCCACATTTGAGCAAGACGCCTTCAGAGGTTCATGGCCACTCGGCTGCGATTGGTGGGTGAATCGCTTCTGAAGGCGGGTGATCATGAAAGGAATGGCACATAAATACTAAGAAGGAACAGGTTGTCACTTCGAAATAACTTTTTTGGTCCTCTTTTCGGGCTATACTTGCCATATCTTGCCATACACTTCGGACACTGAATTCATAGCCAAGTTCAAGGCCTTACAAGGGGTATGTAGGTCTCTTGCTCTCTGGTTGATTGAGTGGAAAGCGCAAAGAAAGGCTGGAAGCATTCAAAGGAATTGTGAAGCCAAAAAACTAAGGCGGAATAAAAGGTATTTCAAATTATTTCAATAGATTGATGATGAGATTTGCACCTTGCTAGTAACATTCCCAACTCTGCTAACTCATGCAACTGCAAATCCGGGCCCAGAAGGATGTTGCCTACAGGGCATCCAAACCCAAAGTCTTGAGAAGTTGCAGCATGAAATTCTGAGCGACACGAATCCACATAGAAACAAACCCTCGATTGCACCACACCAGGCAAACTCAGCTGACGTAGTGAGACCATCAACTGCGCTGCTAAGTTGAGTGCTTGGCGACTGAGGAAACTACGTCTATAGCCAGCAGCTAGAAGCGGGCATCAGGGGCGCGCAGGCGCCAATTTGTAATTGAATTGTGGGGCGAGAAACGTTGAGTGAAGGTCTAATGCTCTCCGCGCTGAATTCTCCTAAAAATGTCCTGGAAAGACCAGAAACAAATAATCTTCAAACCTAAGGTGTTAATCCTAAGCATTGAGAGCCGGTATTTGCTGCAGAGATGTTAACCTAGTGCGAAGATCAAAGCTTTCAGACCCACAGGCCTCTGAACTCTGGCGAGGCGGTGTGGCGGGAGTTTATGATTCAAAGGGTGGTTGTTGCCCAGACGACTTTTGCAGCACTTGCCAAGTGTTCTTGATGGGACTGCACTTTTCCCATGTCCAGATTAGATATCATTGGACTAGCTGCAATATGCTGGAATCATCAATTGCGTAGCCACAGCTTCTCCAAGCTCTGTTGGAAAGGAGCCAGTTACTGCCAGGTTTCCAAAAGAATGACCAGACAGAGTTCAATGAAGCAAGGGCCAAGAGCCCAGAGTCATGTCAGCCGGAGATTTGTTGGTCCCGAGGCTTTTCGGGCCTGAAAAACTGTAGGCTCACTAAGGTAGGAACGTAGGAACGAGAGGTTCAGAGGCCAGCAGTATCCATTTTGCCCCTTGAAACATTTTGAAACTGCGGTGGCCAGCTCTTTGCCTGGCAAGGTGCACATGGGGCACATCATGCGCAAGTGACCGCCATGGGGCGACTGCGTGTTGTTCCATCGTGGAGTTTGCTATCCGAGTACAGGTCTTGTTCATGCTTGCCAGCCAGTTGTTCAAACGCATTTTTAAAAAACAATAATCAGATAATATGACATAATACAACTATTTATAAACCAGATCATTTGAGATTTGAGATCCATTCCCAGTCCTGGAGAATTCACCTGAGCAAACTCCGCCCTTGGGTGATGTTTCACAATCCGACAGATGCGAAGCATGTGGCGGAGAAAGCAGCGATTTGCCAATCTGATTGACTGTGGAAATTGTAGGTTTGGTGTGAGTTTGACGATCCTCATGATGGAGTAGAGGAGGATGAGAAGTAAAGCAGAATGAGGATGAGTGTATATGTGTACATCCATATACGTATATTATACTATGTATATGTAAAAAATATTTAATGATTGTTCAAAACACTCCATGAACGAAGCTGTAATGAATTACGAACCTACAGTTTTTGAAGAGGTGCACCTTGCCACTTCCTGCAGCACTCATAAAATCATGACGCGTTGTCCTCTGAAACTGCGAAACCAACTGGAGACACTAGTGGTGACTGTCAAATGATGACTGCTTTGCTGCTGCTGTTACATTTTTCCGGAAGGTTCCTCGACTTAGTTCCATGCTGACAGACCGGTGGTTGGGCAAGATGGAAACACATGGCATATTCTGTACGCGCAATACGTCCAACTTCACCTGTAGCTGGAAATCGAAGAAGTCCTTGTGCTCCCAACCCCTCAAAGAACACCCAAATCAATTCCCCCAAACAATTATTCGAACTTCAACGGAAACAGCATTACGTGTGAAACATCTGCAGCCGCCCTGCTGGGGGCCATGTCGGTGCCCAGCAAGGTGGCAGACCGACGGCAGATTTGGACCTGGCAATTCCCCATTTATTGATGATTTTTTCATATTATTTCCATCAACAGCTCCAGCTTTGATGGGGATTTTGCATGTTGGATTCCCGGTACAACTCAGCTCATGGCATATGCATAGAACATGTGAAATTGACCAGGTGAAGGAGATGAGGCGCCCGGAAGTTACGAGGATGGCTGCAATCTTCCCAACAACTACGTAGATGTAATACCTACTGTATCTACAAAAGACTGATTTCTTTCAATATTTTTTTGGTATGGTAAACAATTCATGTAGTGATTTTGGGTAGGTCCAATCGACAGCCCGGTGGTGTTCTCAGGTTGCTCAAACCATCCCAGTTTTCCAGTTTCGAGTTGCGATTCAGCCCATAGAGTGTGAACAAACAAGAGGACCAACACGTCTGCTCATATCAATGAACATGGCTTTAAGATAGTTTAACACCTGCCATTCGAGTGTTTGTGGGTCACGCCAAGATTAGACTGTTGCTAAAGATGCCAACATTTGATGTGGGATGCATCGACATAGTTGTGTGTGGCAGACATCTTACTGTCAAATGGTAGTCATTCTTTCTGAGGCACCCAATTTCCCAAACTCCCAGGATTGGCATGAACCCTCAGTGACAGGGCTTTGATATTTGTCTGAAACTTTGGATGGCTGTAGCATACTGCCCAAAGGTCCACGGCCACATAAAACCACATGTTCATCCCCCGCTTTCGGCTCGCCGTCAGCTTCGCGGACGCTGAGTACCCAGTGAAGATCAGTGTTGAGGAGCGCAACGCAACGGGTGGCTGCATGAATCGGTTGTCCTGTACCAGCCATGTTCCTCTTCCAGTGCATCTAATGACCCAAAGCTGTTTACTTGCTGGTTTAGATGAGGGATGAGGAGGGGTTGAGCAATGGCAACCTACCGGGCGACAGTCGATCTGAGAATACCTTCTGCGTGCACATCCATGTAATCCTCCACTTGCACTTGTTGAGCTCGTTGTTTATATGCAAAGAACACCCACACCTAGGGTTTGGCTTATCAAAGGCGGCTTAAAATGAAAGAGAAAAGGTCCAAACGTAGGGATGTGAAGCAAAATGGACATTTGACCAGCAAACCGACATTTGACCAACAAATATAGCACTGTGATTTCATAGATGTACACTCATGTGATCGTGACACGCTGGTCCATTCTTGTCTCAGAGAACCATAGGATGGATTGCTTCGCACAGAGGCTACGTGCTTGCGAAAACGGAATCCCGTCTGGTTGCTCTTCTTTGGGCTTGTTGCGGTTCCCACCAATATCCACCAATTTATAGTGGTAGCGGAGCCCGGTTTCGGCCGGGCCAGTAATTTGGGGTTGGTTTGTTTTTGGGGATCCGGTTTCGTAGGTCGTAGCCTCTGTTCGGGGCATGGCACAAGTTCCACCTGCGGTGCCTCCCTCGGATGGCGATGATCCACTCAGTGTGAGTGATGGGGACGAGACTCATAGTCATTAAAATGAGGATGCAAAACCCCTGCGAATGCCAAGGAAAATGGAGATCCATTAAAATTCATTGCAAATACCAATACAATCTGTGTTTTCCACAGCGGCCTAAAAGCTGATAGTCACCTTTTTTTGGGGCTCTCCACTGCGTTCACAAGTTCCACAAAGGTTTCTGGAAACATTGCGATGGACTTGTTAATCCATTTGACGCTTTTTTCCTATGTACGGCTAGAGCTCGAAGAACGCGTTCCAAGCCAGGCTCCTTGTTCAAGTAGTGCGCGGCGATGGGGAGCGATTCGGACCTTGCCACCTTTCGTAGGTTCCAACGCTTCTTGCGTGCTGAGCAGGATGGGGGCTGTCCGAGAAGGACAAGACGGAGTCGCGAAGACGACGATGACAAGGAGGGGCACGAGCAGAAGGGACAAGCTGGAGTTCCTCCAACTTGGGATGGTTCCACCCCCTTTGAAGACTACATGATCAGAGCGAGGCTGTGGCTGGCGACAACAAAGGTGAAGGGCCGATTTCGTGGGCCTCTTGTGTTGAAGTCTCTGACGGGGACTCCGCTTGAGACTTTCAAACATTATGTCAAGGAGTTGATGTGGTTGAACGGCAATGGGAATGCCGAGACGCTTCTGTCTGCGATGGACCAGCCAGAGCACTATGGAGAAGACCAGCAGGAGCACATGCTGAGAGCCCTTTCAAGGGTCACCTACCACACCAAGAGGAGCCGGACGGAGACTTGGAGAGATTTCTTTGCCCGGTGGGACGTGGCTATGAGGAAG